TATTATTTAATAAGGACTTCAAAACTAAATATATATATACCTAGCTAGAATAATACCCAAGCCTTATTCAATTTTCTGAATCACAAACCCATGAATAGTATTCGAGTCTTTTTTATAGGGTATTGTGACAGGAGGTATTATAGTTGGTGACATACAGTAATAGAAAGCAAGAATCAAAAAATTTTTAAAAAGAAAATGAACGAATATCGAAGATGAACAAGATTAAGAAAAAAATTTGGCTTTAGCTATTAGCCAGCCGCTAAGCTGAATTTTTTATCAGCTAGCTAAGCCAGCCGATAAAAACCTTATAGCTTGTAACACTAGACTAAGTACACTAATGAAAAATATGATAATTTTGAATTTGCAATTAATCTCGAGGAGAAATCTGATGAATTAGAAAATATTTGGAAGAGAAAAATAGATTCTGAGATTGATCAATGGTATCTAACATTACCACATTCGCTTGAGAAATTGTATCAGTTGCGCCAATATCGAATAAATTTATTAGATACTTAACTAGTTAGAAAGAGACCTTCACCCGCTAATCCTCTTCAAGAATAGCTATTTAATTAGATTGTAATGACAGGTGATTCTTTTCAGGAATCGCTGATATTTTTTGTTGTATTTTTTAACACGGCCAAAAAATCTTCAACATTTTTTTTTTTTAAATATAAGTATATGTATGTGTTATTGTTATAATAAATAAATTTTAAATAAAATATAATATATTAAAGAAAGATATAATTTAAATTTTTAAAAAAAAGCAATGTCATCATCTAGTAAATCTCTTAAAAAGAAGAAGCAACAGGTAAAAGGCTCTGATATCGCTGCTCCTGGTGGTAATTATGGGCGTGGACATTCTGGTATGGTTGCTTCTTCCAATACTGCTATATCAAAGTATACGAATTATACAAATACAAAAACTGTTGAGACTCTTGCGACCAAACAAAAGGAGATAGTAGAAACTTTGACAGCCCAGCAAAACAAATCAATACAAAATTAAATAATGATAATGCGAAGCTTATTAAATCTATAAGTAATGATCAGAAAAAGACCATAAAAAATTTGACCAATTCATATGAGAAGACTATCAAGAATTTAAGCGATAATCATAAAGAAGTCATCAAGAATTTAAATGATAATCAAACAAAGGTGGTAACGGAGTTGAGCGGGAATCATGCTGATGTTGTAAAAACTATGAATAATAATGATGTAAAAAAATTAAAAGATATGTATGATGCATATGAAAAGGTTATTAACTCCATGCAGGCCAATTATAACAAGAGATTACAGAGCCAGGACGATTTGATCAAGATGCTGGCCGTCAGTAATATTAATGTGACGAATAAGTTGTTAGACCATGTGACTAGTACTAGTAAGGCAAAAAATACCTTGGGGGATAATATGATAAATCAGTTGTTGAGTCATTTGATGAATAATAATAATAATAATAGTAAACTAAATAAAAATGATTTAGACGAATTAAAGAACACTTTAAAACTTTTGAATAAAGAGCAAACCCGGGTATTACTCAAAAAGATTGATAGTTTAGGAGTAAAGAATAGCGATTCTAAATTGTATAAAATGATTCTTGAGAATGTAAAGCTTTGAGTTTTTTTTCTAAAATAAAAGTATAAATACCCTGTCGGTTATTATTTTTACTAAAACCAAATGTCTAATTTTCTTTTGTACGTTATCTACATTAATTTCAATATCTGCTGTTTACTTTTTATTTTTATTGCATCTGTTGTACTCTATCGACTTTGCAGCAGCGAGATGATTGATTTCTTGTATATCTTAAAAAGCTATTTTACACTTTTAGCTGCAAATATTCATTTAACAATCCAGGAAGCCATTAGGGTATTAGACGCTTACGATGATAAAACTATTTAAATCTGGCGTACACAAAGAGCAAAAAAGTAACCAAAAAAAAAGGTTCAACAGTCAAGAAATCTCAACAAACTAAAACTATAAAAAAATCAAAGGTAACAAAAAAATAGTTACTCATAAAAAGAAAAGCCAAGGCTCATTTTTCCAACACTTGTTGTGGTAAAAATATATTATAAGCAAACAAAAAGTTGCTTCGTTGCTAGGATCTGAACCAAAATCTAAAAAAGTTTGCTCAATTAGAACATGCATAGTTGGTGATGAATCATTATATAATGTGTGCAAGCAATCTCGACCTTTTAATTCAAAGGTTGATCAAATAAATTTGGGCCCTATGATTTCTAATGATGATGCGCAAACTTTGGCATATAATGATATGTTTTATAAGCGATTTTGGGTTTGGCGTTTGCTACAACAAAATAATAGATGGCTTTCGACTCGTCTTGTTCTTTCAAACATTTTAATTCATATTAGATTCACCTCTATTCATACTGAACAAATTGGGAATCTGGTTGGCATTGCTTCTTGGGAGCAGATGATTCTTCCTCCTGTACGACTAGTTCAAAATGATGAAGAAGAAGAACAGCCTCCTCAGCAAGCTGAGTTAAAACCCGATCAATTAATAGATCATTACAAGTTACCTTCAGTCGGAAGGAGTACTTTGTTGACCCTATTATTATCAAAGATGCGATTACATTTTTATTTAGTTCGTATTTGTGATAAGGCTTTAGCTAAGAAATCTGCTCGAAATATTGTACCTGATGATGTGATTCATGATGTCGAAAATTTGGATAATCTAAAGATTAGAACTGATAAGTTAGATGTTTTGGCTCATCATGTGGAAGAGATTGACTGTGATAATACGGGCTGTTTGTTTAAAGATTGGAATTTCTATATGTGTTATAAATTTTCAAAAGATGAGATGAAGGTTTGTAAACTTGAGAAAGAGAGCGAGGATGATAGCACCATATTTGATACTGCAAATTTTGCATTTATTATTGTGGTTGATTATATGCCTGGGTTTTTCAAGATGCGTAGACTTCGAGCCAAACTTCCTAACACTGATGGGAGGTATATACCTGATTAGATATCTTATTTGTTGGGAGAACAATTTTTATTTTCTGTGGGACAGACTGGCATACCTGTTTATATGAGCGATAGGTCGATTGAAATTGCTTATCGTTATGATGAGTCATTTGAGGGTAAGATGAAATTAGATAGAACTCTTATTAAACAGCTTAGAGAGGAATTTACTATTGTACTAGCTAATAATAACAATAATATACAGGTTGATCAAGTTGTTAACAAGAATGAGGATGATTAGTTTTTTTTATTATTTTAAAAATATATAAATATCATGTTTTCTCTTTTTTTTTATTAATAAACAATATTATCTTAAAATCTAATATCAATACAACAATGAGTTGTAAGTGTAAATTTGGTTCAGATAAATATGTTTCTTGTTGTTTTCATGAAGAACAAAGAAAACAATTAAGGTATCCTAAAGGTTATGAGGATTCAGAGATTAACTTGACAATGGCATTTGCGTATGTGGTAGAGGAGTTTTTTCGGAAAAACCCTGAATTGTTAGGGGTAAATAGTCAACCAAAGGATCCTAAAAATATCAATCGGCCAAATATTTCTGATAATTTTGAGATGGATGATTTTGATGAAATTATCCCAACTGATACTGAAGAAGAAATTGATAAACCTGAACAAATAAATAATCCATTAGAACTGATCCCAACTCTGGTTTCAAATTCTGAACCATCTAAGGAAGAAAATGAGTTATATGAGCAATTAAGACGCGAGATAGAAGCAATTACACGTGAAGATGCTATTAAGCTTGTTGATGGAAAAGAGATGTTTTTGAAAATTGATAATTCCAGGTTAGCATCTAGTTTGAAAAATGATTTACATAGGATTCGACGTGAGAAATTAGCCCAATTGAGAGTAGAGCATTACAATCGATATTCTAATTTGATTGATAATACAAATTCCATTATTGAGCTAAATACTTTACATATATCTATTGCTGATGACGAAGTGTTATTGATACAGCAGATACCTCCTCTTTTAAGAAGAATTACCAATAAGATATCAGAAATTCATTAGCGAGAAGAGGTTGATCGCATCCGACAAGGTATACTCAATTAAAATAATATAGTCAAGGTTGATGTTGATTGGAGAGACGAAATAATTTCAGCAAAATATTTATCTGATGCACAGCGGAGTGAATTGGAACGTATAAGAAATGAGCAAAAGTAGAATTTACGTGGTATGCAGAAATATCAACAGTTCAAGGGTGAGCTTGAACAAGCCCTTATTGGTGATGTAGTAGATGGGAAGATGTATGATACATTGATTGAGAATGATACGTTTTTGAGCGTTTCTCAAAAAGAAGAGCTTTAACGTCTTCGAAAAGAGCAATTGAGGAAGTTGACGATAAAACATTTAACGATCTTAAGAATAGTATGCGAAATGAATAGGTATTGAGCAGGTTGCAGGATAAGAGGTATTATGATGAGCATATTGCCAAGATACGAGATGAATTTTTATCTGATGATTTAAAGAAGAATGATTTGCATAGTTTACGTTGTCATCGCTTAGATATGCTTCAGGCTAAAACTGAAGATCAGTTATATGATAGCAATTCCGATCTAATAGATTTGCATCAAGATTTACAAGACTTTGATGATAACTTTGATCTTGCAAAAGATATATTGGGATTAAACCAGTCCTTGTTAACTGGGAATCATAAGGTTGAGGATTTAGTGAACAAGAGGAAGACTAAGTTAGTGTTACAAGCCGGCTGGGGCAGCCGCGGCTAAGGCAGCTTAGCCGGCTAAGCCAGCTGATATAATATAATCAGCTAGCTAATGTGGCTTAAAGTCATATGACTTTAAGTAATATAATTTAGGCCGGAGTAACAATGTTAGGCAGAATTAGGTA